GGTCAATGAGATGTGGCAGAGTGGAGAGTTCTGAGGAATCAGCGAGAATCTCATCCTGCGATGAAGGATCAAAGGCTCTCACTGTAGTTGAAAAATCCGTTTTATAGACGAGTGTGTAACCTCCCTAAGACAAGACATCCTGCTGCAAGCAAAACTTATTGCTCAAAAGCAAACTGATTTAAGGACACAATATTTTCTTATAAAGAGATTCTAAAGGAAATACAATAGGGATAACATGGTGAAAAAAATCAAGACTGACCTCCATTTCTGGCCTCAGAGACCTGAGATAACTTTTGAGGTCCCCCCGAGTCATCAGTTCCATGATGACCAGCGTTGGCTGGCCCTGGGACACCACACCCAGCAACCGCACCTGGGAAGAATCAAAACGAGAAGGACTCAGAGGGACAGGGCTGCACATACCACCACTACCCACACTACCTGGACATGTCTATGTGGTACTGGAGCCTGCTGGCTGGTAGTAGGTTGAGAGGACCAGAGTCTCCACTGACCAGGGAGCTCATGTAACAGTGAGCAACAGGGTAACAACAGAAGCCGTCCTCAATGAGACACTCAGCCCACGGACACACCAGGGGCTCTGCATCTGTAGGGTCCTGACTTCTCAGGGACTTTCTCTTACCACATGGTGACAATTGAACTCCTTCATCACGGAAGCTTCGTTGAGAAACTCAATCCTTTCCCGCATGCTCGCTGCTTCGTTAACTGTCTTTATGGCCACTCTGGTTTCTGGTTCATCTTTAACTACACCCTTGGCCACTCCTTCATAGACCATCCCAAAGGACCCCTGCCCAAGCTCCCGGTTCATGGTGATCTTCTCCCGTGCTACCTCCCATTCATCAGGAACGTACACTGGAAAAGAAGAAACCGGGATTGAAACAGGTATGGAAACCTGCTCTCACACAGAAGGTAGCTTTGGGGAGAAATTTCGAGCTGAAGAATGTAAGATGCCATTTCCTAAAACCCACAAAGGAGCTGAAGACATGGCTTCCTCCAAAATGTCCCCACATGCTGCAGAATTGAGTAAAACCATATGGTGCGGTGTAGATAATTCCAAATCTTTGAGGATTTCAAGATAATTCAAGGGTAGTGACAACAAGTAAGAACCATAAAGAACCAAAGAAACCTATGAGGACACAAAGCAGTGGTTCCTTTCATTTACGTGTTTTTCAATCACTTAAGAAAAGCCCAAAATAACCACAGGAGAGAAGAGAAAGTGAATGAATGTCGAGGGAGGATTCTGGGTTTGGATTTTGCTCATCTACTTCAATCGATTAAAATGCACATCAGAAAAGGATGGTAGTTGTAGGGAGGGGGAAGACTTTTCATTCTGAACTGATAAAAAAGTCAGAGGTATCCGGTTTCTTGGGTGGATCTAAAAGACGTGTGAATGGTCATCAGCATGGACTCTCACCAGTGCTGTTTAACTGGGTAGCCAGTCCCTATGCATGGCTACCGAGCACATGAACATGGCTGGCCCAATTGAGATGTGTTGTAAGTATAAAATATGTGCTGAATTTCAAACACTTGATCAAAATTTAAATATTTCAATAACTTTTATGCTGATTCTATGTGAAAATAAATAGTATTTTCTGGTGTACTGGGTTAAACAAAACATATTGTTAAGATATACTTCATTACGGCTGGGAGATGTGGCTCAAGTGGTAGACTAGGGCCTGCCTAGTAATTGCAAGGCCCTGAGTATAAACTCCAGTAACACTAACTATATATATACTTCATTAGTTTCATTTTACTGTTTAAAAATATGACTACTAGTTGGATGTGGTGGTGCACACCTGTAATCCCAGCATGCAAGAGGTGGAAGCAGGAGGATCAGATGTTCTAGGCCAGTTTGGGCTACATAGCAAGTGCAAGGCCAGCCTGGGGTATGCAGTGAGACCCTGTCTCTAGAAACCAAGAATTGGGAACATAGTTCAGTGGTAGAACACTTGCCTGCCATGTGCAAGGCCCTTGGTTTGATTCCCAACACTGCAGACAAAATACCTCCATCCCCCACAAAAAAACAACTACTACAACTAGAAAATGCAGGGTTACTAATGTGACCTGCATTATATTTCTGTTGGCAGGACTTCTGTAGTCCAAAGTGACTCCCAGTCTTGCTTTTGACCCCTGGGCCTCTAATAAGGCACAAACCAATTGAGATCTGGGACTAAGGGAGACTTGATGGTGACCCCTGGGCTTTGATCTTGTCTCTGACCTCAGGGACCTCCCCAACCAGGTGAAGGGCTTGGGGGTGGGCATGGTAAATACCCATTTGAGCACACATATAATTTCATCTCTGGCTTCTGTTTCTAGTTAGATTTGATATGGTTTGAGAAAAGAAACAAATTAGGAAGGAGGAAAAAGAGGAGGTGGATATGGTCGATGTACTTCCTATACAAGAATGAATATAGAATTTTTAAACCTGTTGTGTCTATGGTCCTACCACCCTCAACATACCCGATCACATCTGATCTCAGAAATCTCAGAAGCAAAACAGGGTCAGGCCTGGTTAGTACTTGGATGGGAGAATTTTTAAACCTGTTGAAATCAACGTAAGAAGGGGAAAAATAGAGGAGATGGACCAATTCGGGTTATCATACATATATACATGGAAATGTCACAAGGAAACTCCATGTATAGCTATCTTAAACAAACAAAAATACCTTTTTTTTTTTTTTTTTCAAAAATGGAGAACAGGAAGGTCAAACAGGTCCATCTGGGGACCAGTGGGAGGAGGGAGGAGATAAGGAAAGGGTGTAGGAGGGTGAATGTGGTGGAGATACTATGCATACATGTATGTAAATGGAAAAATGAGAACTGTTGAAACTATTCCAGGTACTGGGGGATGGGGGATAAAGGAGAATGATGGAGGGGGTGAATTCAGCTATGATATATTGTAAGAGTTTTTGTAAATGTCACAATGTACCCCTGGTACAACAATAGTTTAAAATAAAAAACAAAAAGGGAGAAAACAAAAAGCAAAAGCAAACAGAGGCTCACTCCAGTGGTAGGGTAAAAATTAAAATAACACATCAACCCAATCCATAAGCTCTGGAAGACATTTCCACTAAAACCATAATCTTCTAATGCTGTGTCTGCAGGGGGACAGACTGCCTGGTAGGAAGGAGGTGTTCCTGGCTCAGAAACAGAGGGCTAAGATGAGGGATCACGACTGTTTGCTTTTGTGCTTTCAGACACTATGGTGGATATGAGCAGCCAGAGGGCTGACCACTGTGCTCCAAGACTGTCATGTTCCCAGCCCTTACCGTAAGTGATGTCTTAAAGGAAAGATGTTTATTATACGTTAGGCCTGGGAGACAGCACAAATTTATACTGTGAGGAGTCCCATGTGGACGCCAACGAGCTTCTTGAATTTTCTCCCATACATATTTTTGTATTTCATCATATGCATGTGTTTGAGAATTTGTCAGGTAGAACTCCGCGCTTTGTAGGGATTAGGTAGTTTGCACCTTTAAAAGAAGTCTGAAGTTTGCATAGGAGAGTATGGATACAAGGTAGCCAACAGATGTGGCTCTTTACAATACCCTTTAGAAAGTTTAAAGTGTCACTGTCTAGCCATTTACCTCTGAGGAGCCAGGCTGGTTTGTAATCAGAATTAACCATGTAGCATGTCACAGAACATGGAGTTAAAACCAATCACATCCATTTCTTGGGAGGTTCCTGAAGTCAATACCTTCACAATCCTTTCCTCTAAATTCAACCTAACAGCTCTGACTTGAACTGGCAGTCCTAAGCTCTACCAGATAGTATGGCTTATAAACCTACACAATGTTATCAGCGGTTTCCTGTTAGGGATTTTCAAGTGTGCTTGCGAACAACCACATGCAGATTAGCTTTGGGAGAGACGTTTTTAAGCACCTTCGAACTGCAACGTCATCTGGAGGAAAATGTCTTGTCAAAAGGTCGAATAAATTAAGTTCAAAGGAGGTGACAGTGCTCCCCCCGTTAGCCTGGATGGCAGTAAGTTTATTTCTGTTTTGGAGAAGAACCTATAACATTATGAAAGCATTCTCAAAGGACACAAAATCTGAATTCTGATCACCATTACAGAGTCTGATATTATTGTACCAATGCTCTCTGTAAACTTCCTGGACACTTCCTAGTCAAATTTACAAATGTCAACTTTTGGAGCCTTATTTGAAGCACAGTAGATTCTCTTATACAGTCTTCTACCATCCCCAGTGAGGGGAAGCAGTCTCGCACCCCTCCCCTCCCCTCCTTCACCTCCCTCTTTTTTTTTAGAAGAAATTATTGGCCTGGGAGCAGTGACGTATGCATATAGTTCCAGATACTCAGGAGGCTGAGGTGGGAAGATTGCTTGGACCCAGGTTTGAGGCTAGCCTGGGCAATATAGCAAGAACTTATCTCAAAAAAACTAAACAAACTGAAAATGGAAAAACTATTATTTATACAAATAATGCACAGGTATCTTCTTTTTGCTTTCTTTCTTTCTTTCTGGCAATGCAGACAAGTGAAGTGCCCTACCTCTACCACTGAACTGTACCTCACCCCACTATTTTTTTTTTAAAGAAAACCTTTTCCATAAGTAACTACTCTTATAAATAGAATGTTTTCTATGCCTTATAGACATATACGCAGATGTACACACACACACACACACAAAAGGCCAAATAAATTAATATATAAGTCCATTTAAATAACTGTGAGATTTTTATGTAAACAGGAATATGTCCTTATGATTTTGTACCTGATTTCCATTCTAAAAAGGCTATTTTTGGTTAGCTTTACTATAAACATAACTCAGTGAGAAACAATTAAAGAAACCATAATAAAATCTTACATATTTATATAGTGTTCTTAAATTACCAAATTATTTTCCTATGTGGTCTCATTTGATTAGGATAATCAATTAGAATAATCATGACTCTTTCTTAGCTCCTCCACATCTACTTTAACTTCTGAAGCAAGAAAGCAATAAATGCTTTTTCTAAACACACTCCCCCAATGTCATATACACTTGTTTATTCATTTGATGAACCTGGTCCAGCCCCGCTGCTTGCCTTGGGGACATCACAGCCTTTTTCTGTGATAACTGCGGCACACAGTAAAGAAGAGGCAGCAGGAAGTGTGGGGGCCTGTGCTCTCTTTCTGACTTCCCAACTACCTGAGCAAGTCCCTTCTTAGCATCTTTCCTCACTGGCAAAAGGGGATATGGAAATCCTTTTTTTCTGAAGGGGATAAAATAGGATGGTGTTTGGAAAAGCCCTGAGCAAAGTTCCAGTTAAGGGTACTAGTATTGTGAGACCCAAGGGCACCCCTTCCTCCTCTGACGTTAAGAAGTTTGCATTTAAGACTAGTAAGAAGAGATAGCAAAAAAAGGAAAAAGAGAAATAACCAGTAAGTATGACCCAGCCTCCAAGTCAGACCTTCTGAGACATTTAACTACACGACTCCCTTTGGTTATTACTAAAGAGAATATGGGGAGAAATTATGTGACCCTAGTTGGAAGAAAGTGACAGAACAATCCCAAGGTAAAACAAAGCAGAGCAGCCCTAGTGGCCATGGACAATGGGAAAGCTAAGACCTTCCCAGCTGAAACCTGTCTAAAGGGCTGTGTTGTCAGCTGCATGTCATCTGACTACACTTAAAAGTTAGAAAGCTGACTTCATTCTGACATAAAATTTCAAGCAGTGAAATAAACTGATTACTGGTCTGCCATATTCATCTCTGAAAGCTATTTTGCCTTGGGGCATTCCATACAGTCCCAGAATTTTTTGACAAAAGTCACTGAATTGCTAAAAATATGGATTAAAAAAAAAAGAAATGTTATCAAAAATATATATCCCAGGCCAAAGGTCCCTCAAAATCAGGCAAACCTCTTCCCCAATTAGCAACACTCCTACATTCCCCCTCCCTCTGCCAGTGACCTTGCCAGCACCCTTACCATCAGCTGCGCTGAAGTACTCCGGGTTCACAGATGCATACAGCACTCCATTCCCCAGTCTGCTGCTATTTCTGTCAAAAAAGATGAAATTCAGGTTAACAAACCCCATCTCCATACGTGTCTGGAAATACTCTCATCTTTGTTCTATCCACTTTATTTGTTCTGTTTCACCAAGTACCTTGAGGAAGGGAATGAAGAGTGCTATTGCTGGTGGGAGCTCTTGTCTACCCTCCCGACTCAGTTCCATGTGGCACAGCAGACATCTGAGGACAAGTCTCTTCGCTGGCCTCAGATTAGAGCTTTTAAGAAACATTTGTTTCTTTGCTTCATTGGAAATTACAAGGCTTATTTGACTGGAAGAACTAAGCTGGCTGCTTGGAAAAGCTCTTCAAAGCCAGAACAACAAGTAAGGGGAGGATGGGTACTCAGAAAAAAACCATTCTTTTGGTTGTTGTTAAAGCATTAGAAAATCTTCTCTTTTCTTGTGAAGCACATTTGACTAAAAAAAAAATCAGATTTTCTAATCTGTATATTTTCTCAAAAATGATGGACCTTTGCTAAGCTCAAATCATCCAACCACCTAGTCGCAAAACTCATCTTAATTTGCCCCAGGAGCTCACCTCTTTCTGTGGAAGACGTAAAGCATGATCACCAGTCCTCCAACGACCAACACAATGGCCACTGGCAGAGCGATGATCAGATGGATGAAATTTTCATATGTGGCTGCAGAAACAAGGAGCAAACGGTACAATGTCACTGGCTGAACAGTCTGCTTATTTCATCTTTTTTATATTTGGTTGGAACTATGAACAAAACATTCCTGAAAACTCCTTTACTCCCCCATGGCACTCTAGGGATTCTTCAAAGTAAATGCTATCAGAAAATAAAACACCAAACAAAATGAGTTAAGTATATATACCTTTATATATATATATATAAAAAAAGGTTAAGTATAGACTGAGGTGTGTATTCATTTTTTAAAGTACCGAATATTCTGATATAATAGCTCAAATGATGAACTGAAGGAAAGTAATCTTTGTATGCCTTTTAATGATTGAGTGGAAGCACATGTATTTGCTGAAATAAAAAGGACATAGATTCTTACATATATAGTGTTTAAGCCAAACTGACCTTTGTCTGTTTTAAGACAGTCTCACAGGCAATTTACACACTTACTTACACACACACACACACACACACACACCCCTTGTCTGTCAACCATGCTCTGAATTTTCCAAACACTTGAACACTCGAGTCTGGTTAAAGCCTGACACCACAGAGCTGGCCACAGCCCTCATCCCCACTACTGTATGACAGATGGTAGACTGGGCACCAAACATTCAGATCCACACTCCTAAAAATCCTGCCAGATGTGGGAATCAGTACATCAATGGGTACAGCAAAGTGATAGCACACACAGCAAGGGGCAGAGAGAGGAAGGGAGAGAAGACACAGGAGACAAGAGACGCAGCCTGAATCTTGAAGGAAAAAAAGATATGCTTTTCCTGGGGTATATGATTTTCCAAGGAGAGGAATGATACTGCAGGGAAGTAAGGGCCGGCTCATGAAGGGCCTTGTCAACTCCATTCTGCAGGCTAAAAGGAGTCAGTGAACACCTTCACAACCAGCAATGAACTCATCAGGCTCATGTATTGGGGATATGGCTGGGTCCCAGGACAGACTTGTGATCTTCCTGCTTAAGCCTTCAGAGTACTGGGATTCCAGGTGTGCAATACCACGCTCGACTCACTGCTCCTTTTCCATAAACAAGTATAATCAAAGATGCAACCTGGCTTTTGGATCACACATGCATCTGGTAAGTCATGGCCCCAAGATGGGAGCCAAGCTTATAGTAGTTCCATGACACAAGCAACAGGAGATTCTGAGTTACAACAATAGTGCTGGCAATGGACAGGCTGGATTCAAGAGATATTTAAGACCCAGAATCCACCAGACTTGGGTTGTTGAAATGAAGAGAGAGTGGTTGGAGAGAAGGAAGGGAGAGGGAGAGCTGTGAGGTTCCTTATTTGGATTGCCAATGGATTATGGGGCCACTGACTGAGTTAAGGAATCAAAGATGGAAGAGATGTTCTCAGAGCAGCAATTTGAGTTTTATGCAAAAAAGAGCCTGAGGTACCCACTGAACACACACGTAGAGATGCCCACTTGGAAATGGGGTTGGAACTCACTTAGGACTAAGTTACATGATCATAAGCCACCCATCGACGATTATTTTACCACTAAAATCTGTTATTATTCTTACTCTTTAAATACTATTAAAGCTGCTTAATTTTTAAAATTAAGTATTTTCTTTAATCAAGTACTTTTCCTGCATCTTTCAATTTCTGAAAATACTCACAAGTATAGCACCAGTGGGAAGCGAATAAACTTTTCTTTTTTCCCCTCAAAGGACTATCTCTTATATTTGTATCACTTATACTACTTGGTCAGGTTGTACTGTGTTCTTTTCAAGTTTTACACTTCAACAAGGACATGGAGAAACTAGAACACATTCAGAAGAACAAAATGATTAAAAGGCTAGAAAATTGTTCTACATGAATGGGCTATAAGAAAAGGCCAAAAGACCCGAGAATATTTAATCTAGAGAAAAAAAGTCTGAAGGTGACTTATTAGAATTTAAGCACATGAAGAGTTCCTAAAAAGAGAGCAGGTACCAGAAAGCTTTCAAAGCTTCCATGTCCTCTTAAGACTGAACACGAGGAAATGAGACTAAACTGCAGCAGGAGGGTCCTGTCTGACACCAGGAAACATTCCCCAGCACCAAAGCCAGCACACAGTTCCTATTGCCCTTCTGTGTGAGCCAACTTCTGCTGGAAAAGCTCCATCAGAAGGACCAGTGGATTCCCCGGTGGTGTCCTAGCACTCTCAGGGTTACAAATGGACCAGCAAAGGCAAACAGCAATGTGTCCTCTCCCAGGGAAGGCTATACTCACTAAAACCCAAAGCCAAGGCTATGTCTCTCAGACCACAGTCCAAAGCCAGACCCCAGACCTAGGCTCTGTTCCCAGGGCATAGGTGGGGGTGGAGGGAAAGGATGAAGGAGAACATAATCCTGGAGAAGGTTACAGGAATATAACAGTTCCAGGTGTTGGAAAGGTGGTTTGGATTAAGTATCTCCCTCAAAGACCCATGTCTCAAAGTCTTGGTTGCCAGCCTATGGTACTATTGGAAGGTGGTAGAAACTTTAGGAGGTAGGCTCTAGGGGGAGGAAATTAGCTCACTGGGGTCGTGCCCTTGAAGGGGACTGTAAGGCTCTGGCCTCTTCCTGTCCCTCTCTTTGCTTCCCACTATAGAACATAAAGTAAGCAGCTTTGTTCTACCAAGTGCTTCCCATTCTGATGTTCTGCATCACCAATTCAAAAGCAACAGAGCCAACTGTTCATGAACTGAAATCCCTGAACCCATGGAACAAAAATAAACCTTTCTTCCCTTAAAGTTAATTATCTCAGTTACTTTGTCACAGTAATGGAAAGTCAACTAACATATAAGCTAACTGGTAAGACAAGGTTAAGGGGACTAAATGGGAGAATTCAGACAGTTTTAATTGACAAAATTACCTGCCTAAGCATGCCTATCCTTAAAGCCCAAGTCAAAGCACAGTGGAGTGCCAGGTACGTAAAATGATGGCTTTAAGTTTATAATTCTATTCACACCATGCTTCTGCTATCTGTCACTATGAGGATTTTTAGATATTACATATCTCTGAACATTTGGTACTGACTGGATGGACTACAGGAGTTTTTGGTTTTAAAAAACTTTTATTTATTTTAATTGATACATAAAATTATATATTCAGGTATACCTGTTATGAACAGCATGTTTTGAATGTATACACTGAGCTAATCAGGAAGACTTGCCTTACATCCTCTTCATTTCTTTTTGGGATGGGAACACTTAAAGCGACTTTCTTAGTAATATTCAAGGATATGTTATTATCCTTGTATATGTTAGACAATTGAGCTCCTAAAGGTATTCCTCCTATGGGCTGGAGACGTGGCTCACTGGGACAGAGATTGCCTGGTAGGCATGAGGCTGTGGGTTCAATCCCTAACATCACAAAAATGAGAAAAAAAAAAAAAAAGCAATGAACTTATTGCCCCTAATTGAAATTTTGTATCCTTTGACCAACATCTTCCTAAATCCCCTCCCTCAACCACCCCAGTTTCTGGTATCCACCATTTTACTCTCTACTTGTATGAGAGCAACATTTTAGATTTCATGTCTGTGAGATCATATGGTATTTCTGTGCCTGGCTTATTTCATTCAACAGAATATCCTTCATGTTCATCTGTTTTATGGATCAACTGCATTCCACTGTGTGCATGGTCCACATTTTTTTTTTAATCCACTCATCCATTGATGAACACTTGTATTTCCATTGCTTGGCTATTGTGAAAAGAGCTATAATAAACATGGGAGTGGAGATGTCTCTTTCATGTACTGACTTCATTTCTTTTGGATATGTACCCATGGGTAAGATTGCTGATCTTGTTTTAATCAGAAGAGCAGGAAATACAGACACTGGGAAGCTCCATTCCACTAGACCCAAGAGTACTACCACCAAGCAAGGCTGAGATACAACTTCTGGGGGGAGTAGTAGTAAGGAATGCCATCATGCCAAATTTGATCTCATTACATGAATAAAAATAATCTAAATAACTGGATTTCTGATAAGAAATAAAAAATTCAAGCCAGGTATTATGATATGTGCCTGAAATCCCAGTCTGCTCAAGAAGCAGAGGATTGAGGTTTGAGGCCAACTCAGGCAAAATCTTATTGAGACTCCTATCTCAACAAATGTGGTGGTGTCCACCTATAATCCCAGTGACATGGGAGACACAGGAAGAAGGACTGTGGTTGGAAACCAGCTCTAGGCAAAAAGCATGAGTTCCTGTCTGAAAAATAACTATGGCAAAAAGGGCTAGGGCATGCCTAGCAAGTACAAAGCCCTGAGTTCAAATCCCATACTGCCAATAAAACAATAAAACTCAATATGGATATAAATTCAACAAACAAAAGAATACATTATCTTGGAGAAACAAGAAGTATTTGTGGTACTGTTTTGCTTATGTATTTTGCAAAATTCAGTTTTAAATCTGAAACCAGCATATAGAACAGACTTCTAAAAATTTTGTTATCAGTGTGTGAGCAAACCTTGTAACATTACCAAGTCTCTGCACACAGGGTGAGTACTCTGCTTCAATGTACATTAGTGCTTTCAGCCTGCATCTGAATTTTACCAATGGGCAGGCTTACGGGGAGCAGAGTGCCTCCACTTGGAGTGCTGTCATGGAGATCGCTACCCTGCAGCAGTGAGACCAGATGGTAACTCAGGTTCCCATCATCAATTTGGATTCTGAGCGCTGAATCTGAGCCGTAAGCAGCTTCACTAACCATGTAAGAGATGGAATGGTCAGTTCAATGCTTTATAAATTGCGTTTGAACCTCAGTCACAGTGAAAACCAAAGGTCTCTTCTGGCTCTTCAGTGGTTGTACCATCCTAAAAGAGGAACTCATACCCTCTTTCAGCCTGTCGCATGAGATACGAATCCCAGGCTCAGGATCTCCCTAGGCTGAGCTCCCAGACCAGCCCCTGGTTCTTTAGCACAACTCTGAAAGTTGGCCAACTCCTTCCTAACAAAAAAAATCAGAATTTCAGCAACCCAGGCCACCTTTCAGTTTTACCACACTACTCCCTCCACAAGCCTTACTTTTGGCTGGGACATAGAAGAACACAGGATCTGTCCATGATCCATTCCCAGAGAGAGAGGTGGCCTGAATCCGGGCTGTGTAGTTGCCTGGATTTAGCCGGTTAAGCTTGGCCCCTCCATACTTCCTGTATTCCTGTCTGGACACACATTCCCGCTGATCCTGGGGAAATAAAACATGTGTCATTTTCCTACAAACATGCAGAGATCTGGCACCTGACAAGTCAACTTACTTTGTAGCTGCTGAACCTCTGACAACTCACCTAACATCGCTGATTTTGACCATCAATAAAAGGGAAGAAACCAAGTCTTAAAAAGTGGCCCTCAAGTAACTTAAAATGCACCCACAGAAATTGGAAGCAAATATGTTTGTAACAAAACAAAACAAAACTCCAGAAGAGTTACAAGTTATTAAGACTGATTGCTTAGCCTATGTTATTTTCTACAATAAGATCATTTGAGGGTTGGAAGAAGCCCAGTTACTTGCAAATTCTGGAGTCCTACTCACAGAGCATGGAGCTACTGGAAAGGCTTAAACTCTCATGACTGTAAACAGCACCTTATCATTGTCAGTTACACTAAACAGCACCTTATCATTGTCAGTTACACTAAACAGCACCTTATCATTGTCAGTTACACTAAACTGTGGTGCAATGCAGTGCATGCTATCAAGTCTGATAGAAATACACACAGTTGTAGAACACAGCCCCAAACCTACCTCAACTTGTGATCCGTATTTTATTTCATACATCAGAATCAATCCATTGGGGTTCTCAGGTTCTGGCCACTTTAAGAAGATAGAATTTTCAGGCCTTGCCTCCCAGGTCACAGGTCCAGGAATGTCATCTGCTCCTTCTGTATCACAATGTAAACAAGTGGCAAAGCTGGATTCAGGTTCCCAGGAAGGGAAAGAAACACTGGGCTAACTTGAAAATAACCCTCCCGATCCATGCATGCAGAACTGTTGACAGTGACCACTTGACAGGGCTAATCACGCACAGCAGAGGTTTAAAATAGGACCCACCTGACCTGTACATCTCAAAGTGCCACAGTACCCACCTTCTGCCTATCCCCTCCCACCATAAAAGCCTGTGACCAAGTACAAGAGGAAATTCTTGGCAGCCTGAGTAACTTTTTTCTTCTATTCTGCTTCTACCACTTAGAAGAATGAACTCGTCAGGGCACACGTGTGGTGGCTTATGCCTGTAATCCCAACTTTAGGGAGACAGAGATTGGGAGACCATGGTTTATGGCCAGCTTAGGTACAAAGTTAGTGAAACTCTGACTCAATAAACAAGCGTGCATGGTGGTGCATGCCTGTGATCCCAGCTACTCAGGAGGCATAGAAGGGTCACAACAGCGTGAGGTCTTATCCGAAAAATAACAAAAGCAAAAGAGAGCTGGGGGGTGCGACCTAAGTGGTGGAGCATCTGCCTAGCAAGCAAGAGGCTCTGAATTCAAAGCCCAGTGCTGCCATTGAAAAAGAAAAGAAAAAGAACCCATCAAACCCAGCAGCACTGAAAGGGTATGGTGAGCTGCTTCACCTGAAGCAGCATGGAGCCTCCAGGTGACTAACTTCCATGTGTGCATGAGAGCTGTCACAAAGCCAGCCTGGGAGGAACCTGCTAAGAAACTGGTGCTGAGGGCAAGCAAGTTGTCTCTGCCATCATCTATTCCTTTAGTCATTGCTGACCTTATTTCTTAAAGCAAGCCGGTAAGCCAAAGTCATAGAAAGTTATGGCTGGGAAAGGCACTGAGAGATTAGCTGGTCTATGTCTGTCTTAGGAGGGCTCAGGAAACTGAGGTATGTGAGGCTAAGGGTTATCCCAAGGTAGGCTACACGAGAGAACCAGAACCATACCCAGGAGACCCCTCTCCCATACTCTAGTCATCTTCATGTTCTTTCTACTACTTGATGCCTCCTGAGACAATGAAAACTGGGTAATTCACCCACTTTCAAAGATGGATGAGTGGCTGTCTGAACCACAGTGTCCAATTTACAAAGGAAAAACAAGGCCAAATAAGCATGATTACAAGCTACTCCAGGAGCTGACCTTGAGGAGAGATGGTCACTCTGAATCAAAGCAGCTGCTAAATTTTGGGCATGGAGTATTCCCCCAAAAGCCCATTTGTTGAAAGTTTGGTCTTCAGCCTATGCACTATTGGGGGGCTGGGCCTAGTAGGAAGAAGTTAAGGTTACTGGGGTCATGCCCTTGAAGGGGATATTGGGACACTCTCTCCTCCCCCAATCCTCTGTTTTCTTCCTGGCTTCCATGAGGTGGTCAGGTTTATTCTACCTGGTACTGCCTTGCCACAGGAACAAGTGACTATGGATTGAAAGTTCTGAAACTGTGAGCCAGTTTCCTTAAAAGTTGACCATTTTATGTATTTTGTTAGTGATGGAAAGCTGATTCACACAGTAGCTGATTGAGGATTACACCTATTCTGAAAAACTAGGGAGGGAGCCAACTGATCTACATGTGCACAAATGGGGAGGAGGGATTACATGTGCTTGCTAGTGGACCACAGAAACCAAGAAGAGGAGAGAGAATCCTAGAGGGAGCTTGCAAGAGCTCTGTGTGGATGAACTGGGATGGGTAATGCCTCTGTGAGAACACAGGCTCCGTTTCCTGGGCAGCTGGCCTACAACACTGTCTACCAACGATCACACATTCTGCAGTAGGACTGAGTTTAAGGGTTGTCACCCTGGGTGTCAGCCTCATGTCCACAAGATATGACCTTCTCTTTTGGGCTATAAGTCAGGAATGGGACCACTCAGATCACTCCATACCTGCAGGCATGGTTCTTGCAAAGACAAAGTTGGAAGCGCTGCAGCCCAGCTTCTCAGCCTCGTGGTTACAGCTATGGATATCAATGCGGTACAAAGTAAATGGCCGGAGGTTAGAAATGACAGTTCTCTCTTTGTTGTCCACTCTGCTCTCAAAGAAAGGATATTCTGTCTCAAGCTCTTCTGGGTCTGTGACATTGTAGGTATCCACCACCGTGGTGTTCCTGCTTCGGCTGGACATGGTGGTGTTGACCACCTGCATGACATCTCTCCGTCTCCTTTCAGGTCTGCAAGGAAGAGAAAAGCTTGGTTTGGGAGTGCTTCTGCCTCTTTTGTCTTTTCTTGGTCCAAGATAAGAGGAGGAGAATAGAAAAACCTTAATCTTGATATAAAAGGAACTATTCAGGCCCCTTGGATGAGAACCATTAGCCAGCCTGGGGATTTCCTTCTTCATTATTTATCTTTCTTTCTCTTTTGTACACGCTCAGATTCAGCACACCTACTCTGCCCTGACTCCTGCAGTGGGTACCCCATTATACCTGGAAGCAAACAATGCTGCACCCATTGTGGGTCAGGTGGTATCCTATTCCATCAGAATGCTAGAACCATGTGGTCACAGACCTTATGATTAAGCATTAAAGGGAACAAACCCAACAGTCATACTGAGATTTATCAGGGTGTGAAGAAAGAGGTGTGTTGTTTAGGCTCCATGGAAGAGATTCAAAAGCTGGTCGTGGTGGCTTTTTAGATCCTGAGATAAAGCGGTCCCGAACTGAGATGCAAGCATAAGCCTGAACCCCAGGGTCTTTTGGGGACTCCTGCTGATCAACCTCCATACTGAAGTCCCTTGTGTATACTACAGTCTTGTAGATTTTTTTTTGGGGGGGGCAGTATTGGAGTTTGAACTCAGGGTCTTGCACTTGCTAGGTAAGAACTCTACCTACCACTTGAGCTGTATACCCCCAGTCCTTCGTGCTTTAGGACTCAGATAGGATCTCAGATAGGATCTAGTGCTTTTGCCCAAGGCTGACCTTGGACATGATCATCATACCTATCCTCCTGCATAGGGATTACAGACATGCACCACCATATCCAGCTGGTCTTTTTTGATAGGAGCTCATTAACTCTTTTGTCTGGGCTGGCCTCAAACTACAATTCTCCCATTTCTACCTCCTGTGAAGCTGGGATTATAGGTATGCACACCACGCCTGGCTCTTCCTGTAGGCCTTCTAAGTCTGGCTTTGCTTGGTATTCAGTGGGTACCTGTGGCTCCCTAAGGCTCTGCTGATGAAAGGGTTGCAGTTTTTGTTATGAACTTAAGTAACACCTGAGAAACACAATGACAGAAAAGCAAAGGGAAGGCATATAATCCCCAGGGAATGATACCACCATGAAAAATTGTGGGATATGAGACCCCCAAATTGCTGCCTGGGTGGGATAGAGAAAAATGGGCTTTTGGGCTCCCTTCTAAGCCTTAGAAAGAGTCTCCTAATATTTACAGAATCAACAAAGTCTACAGAATATGGGAGAAGCACCCAGACAGGGCAATGGCAACCCTCAGGTCAGCCACAGATGAATGGGGGAAAACAAGATGCTGAGGCGGCCATTGGCAGGTGTGGCTTATCTTGTGCAGGGCAAAGGGGTTGAGGGGATATAATGGGATGATTGTCATCAGGTAAGAAAAGTTAAGAGTCCAGGGAAATGAGGACATCTAGAATACATGGAACTCATTTTTCTCAAGGATGAGACAGGAATAGAGAGCAAAAGTTCACATAGGAAAGCTGGTCCCTTGGCCAGAATCTGAAGGGGAAATTAGAGGGTTAAGGGGCAGGGCAAATGGCTCCTTAGTCTGATTGGCCCATGGATTCACCTGCAAAAGCATAGTCCTTCACTGTGCAGCGACACATCAGGCCCCACTAAAGGCTCAAACTGTCCATCACAGACAGGCTCATCTAAAGTCAGAAAACCACAAGGTTAGGGGAATGTGCCTTTGTTTTCACAATGCTGTGGAAAAAGGGTTGGGAAATGAGGCTGATAATCTGCCATCCTTCTACCCTGCAACCAACAAACCAACCAACCATCTACCTTCCTGGAAGGAAAACACAAGAAACCACACCGATTGCTAGGGAGATCTTTTTCAACACATTACCAGTAAGTTTCCTGCCTTCCTTTCAAAACTAACACAACACAAACTTGTGTCTGCAAGTAAGAAGTTGCTTGGGCTTGATCCACCCCTCTCCACCAGGCTACCACTATTGAAATGGTATTACACCATTAAGTATGCTCAACAGTCTATTTATTTGTAAACACCACAATTTGAGATTACATAGCAGTCACTCTTTTGACACCAAGTCAAGAAGTGGGGGAGGGAGGCAACACAAACTATTAGCAGGAAGACAAGGGATGGAGTAACAGAGTAGCCTATACATAATTCTTTGCAATAGCTACATTTCAAGTGGAGTGACCAACAGTAGGTACTGTTGCCAACTTTCCTCACTCCAGTCTGTGATACAACCTACTCCCATTAGAAAGCCTTTTACTTCTGAACATCTGTCAACATTTAAGCCAGTGTAAAAAAACTATATGATTTGCAAAATAAAAATGGTGGTCAATGAAAGGCATTTGCCACCAAGTATCAACTTCAGAAAGCAACTTTACAAACTATAGTTTCCATTCAAGCAGGCTAAGCTGGACAACATAGAAGAAACTAAATCTCGCCTATTTGGTTTTTGACCCCAAATAAATTGTTCTTAGAATGAATTGAAAGAAATTGTACTAGGTTTTGGACAATTTTAGTTATAAAACAAACAAACAAACAAAAACCAGACTTCACAATTCATTTCTTGTAAGTTGTGTTGTCTCACCACAGACAAATTATGGGATCTACACTCATCACGGATGAATGCATTTATCACGTGGGATACAGCAGAGAGAAAACTTATTATCTTAAACCCAACAAAACAAACTCTGTGCATTAATAACATCTGTATCAACCACATCTGTATCTTCACATCACTTAACATGGTAGCATTTGACTATAAATGTAAGGGGCCTATTGAGTATATTATTAACAATAATGGAGTATCTTCCCATTATTCCCCAACAGTTCTTATGCTGGAAGCTTGGTCCTCGGTGTGGCAGTACTGAGAGTGGTGGAACTTTTAAGAGGTGGGGTTTTTGGGGGAGATGATTACTTCACTATAGGTGACGTAATATATATAGGTGCTGCTCTCAGAAGGGATTTCAGTAGTCTCCAGGAGTGAGTGAGTGAGTTGTTCCACAACAGTGAACTGTTATAAAAGAGAAAGGGTATGGGTCTTTGGTTTCCTGGCTGCTTTGTGCTCTCTTCCTTTTTGCTTCTACTATGATGCTTTGCCATGTGATACAGCCAAGGGAGCCCTCACCAGAGCAGAGCAGATGCTCATTGCATGCTCTTAAGCCTCCAAAACTTCAAGTTTTACCTACTACCTAGTCTCAGATACTTTGTAAGAGTAAGAGATAATGGACTAGAAACATTTCTGAATCTTTGACTCACAACCTGGACCTTAATGTTGCCAGTAACTTTTGATGGAGAATAAACAGACAACTTCCTGGAACTGGGGATGTAGCTCAGTGGTAGAGTGCTTGTCTAGCATGTGTGAGGCCCTTGGTTTGGTTTCTAGCACCAAAGAGGGAAAAAAGGACAACTTCCTGCCCATTCTGCTTGGGACACTCCATGATTGCCCATTCCTGTAATAACTGGAATTGCCTCTTGCTGAGCCTCTGCTGACCTGGATGGAATGAACCACATGAAGGCTGCAAAGAGAAAAAAAGCCTTGGTTTGTGAGAATGTAGGCTCAAGGCCCAGAGAGATTGTAAATTAATTAAGAATGTCAGAGAGGGCACCAAACCTCACAGAGTTCCAGTTTCAAACATCTCTGAGCTGTCAGATTCTAGGAACCACATATGGTACCCAGCTATCACAGATAAGAAAACAGCAGTACACACCGGACCACAGGCTAACACCTGATAGCAGACTGAGCTGCCTGCCAACAGCAGCTACACCAGCAAGGCAGGAGGGAAGACCCGAAGCAGGTTTCTAGACACTTGCAGATCGAGCAGCTTTAACTACCAGAAAGGAAGGAAGGGGAAACAAACCCACCAAGCAGTGAGGAGTTTCATTCTCAAAAGGAAACAGTAACTTTAAAAGGTCTTTATTTTCTACTTCACTGGTTCTTCCAAGAAAGATGGCTACCTTTGACTATTTCACAAATATCAAGAAAGTCATGTGACAGGAAAAAAAATCACTTTAAAATCCATTTGTTGTTACAAACTAAAAAATTCTTTAAGGACAAAGTAATAATGAAATAAAATAGTGACTATTGGCTTCTGGGGTTTCTCAGAGGCAGAGAGCTGGAAGACTGGGGCAGGTGCCACCAGCACATCACTGATCTGAACCCAGCTGTCCATCTAGTTTTCACGTATGTAGCCATTTCCAAATTCTGCACTATAATCTTTCAGGAAGACAGGGAGTCATGCCAGCACTCAATTTCCATCTCTTTTCCTAGGCATCACTCGCTGTTCTAATGTTTTCTCTTGGTTTTTAAAAATTATTTTGTTCACTATCTTTTTTTTTTAAATTGTGGCAAAGTTGTATGTTAAAATTAAAGATTATGAATTCACCACAAACCTTGCCATTCTAACTATTTTAAGTATATGGTTCAGTGACACTAATTTCATTCACAATGTTGTGCAACCATCAGCATTATGCCCTAAACAGAAACTCTATCCATTATAAAATAATCCCATTTCCCTGTCCATTCTCTGTACTCCATACACATGGAATCATGCAGGGCTTTGTTTCACTCAGCACGAAGTTTTCAGGGCTCATGCATGCTGTATCATCAATCAATATTTCCTTTCTATGGCTGAATACTAGTCCATTGAATGGATATACCACATCTCAATTATCCATTCATGTCTGATGGACACTTGGGTTGTTCTCAGCTTTTGTCTACCATGAATAGTGCAGCTACTGAACATTTCCTTTCTTCCACTCTTGTTCCCACTTTGCAGAAACTAAGGTGAGAGCACAGAAGAGGGAATGCCTGGCAACAGTTTCTTTGACAAGCTATGTCTTCTGTGCTGCCTCCCAAACCTGCTTACAAAGGATGCCTGGGGTGCCTGGCTAAGTTTGGACGGTGAGACTCCTTTCAAAACTGGCTCTGTGGGGGGGTGAATATGATTGAAGCTTACATTATCACTCTCCCTGCCTGTCTGTCTGTCTCTGTCTGTATGTATGTATGAATGAATGAATGAAAATAGCATAATGAAAGCCACCGAGTGAGAGAGAGGATAAGAAAGAGTAATACAGACAGGGTGAATTTGACAAAGTACATATATGCATGTATGTAAATATCACAATGAAACTCCTTTGTACAATTAATTTATAAGAAAGACTGGCTCTGATTTTTTTCCCTTTTGCTTCACTCCTCTTCTGCCAAGCTGGGGAGATAGCAGAGAGAAGTGGGAAGGGCAGAGATGGAACCAAACTTTTCACTTGGCTGCTTTCCATCAGGACAAGTGATTTAAGCTCTCTGAGCTTCATCTCCCCATCTCTCTGCAGAGGGTCCCACCTGCTCTCTGCAGGGATGGTGTGGCCGAGGCAGGCATACCTATCACACCCATGGGCTAACATGAGCCCTGGCTCCCTCCCCTTAGGCTAGACAGCTTCCAGTGGAGTTCTGCTTGACCAAGCTCATGTCATCCTTTGTGGCTCTGGTGTCACGCCCTACATAGCGGAGATGGAAGCAACTGAACCTTTCTGAGCAGCACCACCATGTTTCACATGGTATAGGTACCTGGGCACGAAGATAGAGTTGTGCAGGAAATTCTCGAAGACTTTGCGGTACTCAGCTTCTTCCTTCTCGGCCTGCTTCTCAGCTTCAGTTTTGGGGCAAGCACAGCAAGGCCCTTTCTCGCCGCCACACACTTCGGTCTTGGGATTCTCTGTCACCTCTTCCACATCAATGGTGCCATCAGCGTACTTCCTGATGGGAATTTTGTCTTTTCGAAAAGACATGCCAAAAGGAGAGTGGGAATGAAAGCCATGTATAACGCAAGTGTGAGGAAAAAGAATAGCTCCCTTTCAATCAATACGGGAGCTGACAGGTGTGACTTTGGGCTCAGGTAAGTTCAGACAACTGGAATGAGCAGCTGCACCTCTCATCTGGCTGCTGCTACATCCTTACCTTTGGAGCAGTAATTGTGCCGGTACAGATAGCCGTCCTGAGGCTGTCGCTGCCACCTCACAATGTAGTAACTCAAGTTACCGTTGGGCAGAGATGGGGGGTTCCACTTCACAATGAGCTGAGAAGAGGAGTTTGATGCTGAAAGAACATCCAGGGGGATGGAAGGAACTGGAAAGGAAAAGCACATTTCACAAAATGGAACGAACCTAAGGTTGAGGCTGTCAGGGACTCAAGGCAAACAAACAGGAAGCTGTAAGTTTGACCTGGATAAAGAGATAACTATGACTACCGGAACACGAAGTGAAAACTGAACCTTGTTTTGAAAGAGTATTAATTTAAATGCGAACATTTCCTTTCATGGCATCTATTCTCAAGTAATCTCTGTGCAAACAAATGTAGCAGAGTTGCAAATGAAAAAGGTTGTGGGGGTGCAGCCAGGGCTAGAGCAGATGACTTAAAATCTACAGTTAATTCAAACACCTGATTTTCCTCATTTATTACAACTGACATTCTCCCAAACATTTAACCCCAGCAGGTTTAACAAATGGGAAACTTGACTGATTTGGATTTCATCTGAGATTTTCAATCTCTGATAAAAATAGCAAGAAGACAAAATGAAAGGTGGAGAGCATGTGTGTGAGTGAGTGTGTGTGCATGCATCCATATGAGAGAAATCAGAAAAAAAAAAAAAGTGAAGAAAAGAGCACAGAAATCCACAGATCTGTAATTGTGCTTGTGGAATGGTTGAGACATCACTCTGAAAAGTAGGCTAAAAATGCAAACACTGTAAGCCCCAACTTAAAGAAAAGGACTCTGTTATCAGCAAAAAGAATACTGATTTATGGGCAAAGCATAATCAACCAAACTTTACTGATGACACAAAAACTCAAACCCAGAGCTGACTTATTTAGAAAGAGAAAATACATGTACAGATTACTGTTGGTCTCGTTGGGTCCAAAAAAATCACTGATTTTGACAGTTTTTCTGAAGTGCAAGAGATATGTTCACTGTATGTTGCTTAAGCAACAGGTTCGACCGAGCTGTTTTAAAAATCTAAAGGGGCAAACAGCTTTAGAATGTACAATACACATAAGGATCTGAACACCTCTGAGGGATGATACTGTGGGAAAAGGTAATGACTAATGCTTTTTCAGAGAAAACATAACTACTCGATGCTCAGCCATTTTAGAGTATCCAAAAATAAGGATTTCAAAAACAAACAGTTTATTCCTAGGTATTTCAATGTTAAGTGCCACAAAAAAAGAAAAATAGAGGCAGAGGAACAAACTATTATCTGACTCAACCTGGGCAGGATGTGGTTCTATCTTTGGGGAAAAGAAATAGTTTTCTTAAGAATTTGCCTCAATGAAAGATTCCTATTTTTCTCAAACTTGCTACAGCGATTTACTGGGAAGTCTTACTTTCAAATTTTAAGATGAAAAACTTACTCTGTTGTTGACTACCATCAGAAGCATGTGCTAAATATATTTCTATAAACATTTTAGGATCACTGACATGACTGTAGCCACTTAGGGGATCACTGAAATGGGGCAAGAGAGGAGAGGAGGAATCAGGTATCCCTGCCATTTTTCCTTCAACTCTACCATTTAAACTTATTTTGTGCTAATTTATGGATATATAAAAACACCCTCTTCAGTATAACAATAACTATTATCAAAAAATGGTTACTGGTCTTATAGACTGTGCCCTTGCCCCTTCCCTAACAAGTTCCTATATGGAAATCCTAACTTCCAAGGTGATAGTAGTGGGAGTTGGAACCTTTGGAAGGTGATTCAGTCATGAGGATGGAGCCCTAATAAATGTAATTAGTGGTCTTACAAAAAGGGTACCAAAGGCTCTGTTGTCCATTCTTTCTGCCATGTGAGGGCAAAGCAAAAGGATAGCTTGTTGTGAATCTAGAAGTTAGCTCCCACCAGGCACTGAACGTGCAAGTGCCTTGATCTTAGACTTCCTCTCTAGACTGTGAGAAATAAATATCTGTTGTTTATAAGCCACACAGTAGTAGTGGGCTGCTGTAGTAGCCCAAATGGATGAAGACAATCACTGTCTTTGAAAATGAAGTGCCTTTTCCTACCTCTAAACTGGTCTATATATATACTTAGAAAATATACATCAATGTTTGCTTTTACATGTCTAGGTTCTAGAATTGAGAAATGGGATACTTTAGAACATGAACATAAGGTGAGAAGGAGGAATGTTTTCATTGGTCAACAGTCAGATTTTAAATATCCACAATATACTAGGTCTATAGATTTTCAGCTTTTGTCTATCTACTGGGAATCCCAGTGGCTACAGAATAAAGAGAGAAAACCAGAAAGCCATAAACCAGTAGCATGTAGATTAGCATGGTTTCAGCTCCTAGTTTGAATAGCATAATAAGCAAGAGAAGTCATAAATGGCTACTTCTTGGTTGAGCCTTCCAAGAAAACCATCCCAGCACCATGGAGGACCTAGGCTCATCAGCACGGAGCAGTGAGATAGATGATGAAGATGTTACCAAGTGCAGAAAACAAGACTGAATAGCTTAAGGTGCTGGCATTAGGAAAAAAGTATACAATACAGTATTATGCAGTGATGAGAAAGGCAACAGGCATGTCTTATTGCTGGCCCTATAACTACACCTCGTCTATATAAGTACAGCAAGGACACAGAGAAACAGGGAATGGTAGGGCTTGTGTGGTGCGTGTGTGGATACCTGAAGCATTGGTGCGAATGTATAAGATTTCACTCTTGGCCCCGCGGATGTGGTCATTTTCCACCATAGTGAGGGTCACAGCCTTCACATAGACAGCATACTGAGTCCAGGGCTTCAGACCATGCAGTAAAATGCCAGGCTCCTTATCCTTGTTAGGAGGTAGGTCCACATCCACCATGTTCCAGCTGTTGGAGCCACAGGCATCCTGGCCATCATATTCTGTGACATTTTTAAAGGGTCTGAAAGACAACCAACCAAGTGCTGGGCTCTGACATCAAAGCTCTCAAGGGTCTTCCCCAAGGGCTAAGCATGTCACACTTTCCATGATGGAATTCTAAGTGAAAGTAATAATCAATTTGGTTTATCAAGCAGAATAAAATTAAACAACTGGACTCTGGGATTCACCAGTCTACCAAACAACAAGAACAAGTTCTACAGTTACTGGGACTGAAAATGTCTCCTTAAGAAGACATGCAGATCTTATTTTTCTCACTCCTGAATTGCAGCATTTTTTTCCACATCTAGAAAAAACAAGCCCAGTTGTTTAATGAAAACAGATATTGATAAAGGGTAATTTCTGGAGAGAAAATTGAGCTATCTTACAGAAACAGAAGTAGCTTCTAAAATTTAAATTGCTCATAGCCCATTTTGATGTTTAAGTATCTCATAATATTCATTCAAATATTTCGTTTCAAGATTGTCTCAGAAACTAGCTTCTGCTCCTTAGTGAAATTACCAGCGGACGTTGCCAATATATTTGTAGGACTTTCAAAGAGAATAGAGTATTTTGCACAGATGCATAGTTGGGTAGGGATTCTATATTTATAAGATGAAAGGGTCACTGGTCATTGGCTTCTGTAACAGAATTAACATAACCATCAAGATGGTAGATCATGGAGGACCCCTTCCATACATACAAACACTGAATGCTGAATAATCCTGAGCTTCCCATTTCTCATTGGCTATGACAATTCCCATAGTTCCTGGCTCCAGCAATGGGTAGGGTACCAGCTGCTGTCTATGCTGCCTCTGGTTCTCACTCTCAGGAAACTAAGCACATGGAAAAGAGACCTATGAGATGGAATCTGGTTAAAGGGATGATTAAGCAGACCGGGGAATTATCTGTATTCAGGAGGTCAAGGAGAGCGGCAACCTGGAGAAGTAAGTCATGGCTGTGCAGGCTATGTCTTAAGACACACCCCCCAGAAGCTTCTGGGAGGAGTCATGAAAGGTTGGAGGCATGAAGGTTGGTCTCTCTCTAGTCCTCTTCCTTTGTTGGAGGGCTCATGACTCAAGAGTAGAAACTGGGAGACACCCATGCAAAATATGACTGGAAGAAGACAATGGACCAGTATGGGGTAAGCTCAAAGACAGCTGTGCATACTATGGGGTATTTCTGGAGTAGTGGTTCATGGGCACGAAGGCTGAAACAATACTTCAACCAAGTTCCCAGCTTATGACAGTTTAGACTGACCCAATTATCTACAACACCAACATTTTCCTCTTTGGATTGAACTTACTCAAACACTACTACCCACTAAACAGTGAAAAACCTCAAGCCAACATGTGTGGCTATCACCAGCTAGGAGGAATGTCACATGACAACTGAGGAGATACATGAGGATAAAGCAGGGTCACTTGGCCTGCTTCCTGGGGACCTTGCAGAGACCCTGTTCAGCCAATACATGCAATGACCAAGGGACTGGCAGTATCCACTCCCAGCCCTGTTGAGAGAATGGCATCAACAAATAGGAAAACTCACGCCTCCTTGTAGTAAACGGTGAAGCTGATGAGATCTCTGTAGTCTGGAGGCCTGTACCGGTGCCAGGTTATGATAATGCGGTTCTTTGACGTGGTGGTGGAGGTGAAATGTAGGACATCACTTTCACCTGGGGCAGAGAGGCACATCCATGAGTGACAGAGATACATGTGTCTCCGAAAAGATACCTGTCTGGGCACAACTTCCCTTTCCCCCCAAAGCTGGAAGTCCAGGTTTAGTCCTTGTCTGGACGTCATAGGTAAGCTTTCTCATTTCCCACTAAGAATCTACACATTTCATTGTGGAGTTCCTAGGGGTTCACTTCTTTGTTTTAGTTCAGTCATTTCAATGCCACTTGCACAGGGAATGAGACATAAACCTCTGATTGTTTCCTAACCTGTGAGAAGGGTCACTTCTGTGAATGAGATAGTTTTACTTTCTGCCCACTCCTAACATGCTGGCTGCCAAAGGGGGCCTGGCTGAGTGAAAGTAAACCTATATGTTGGACTGACTCTTCCAAGAGAGGATGGCACCTGTTCTGCAAGGTGTGAGACCCCAAGTGAGCCACAGAAAGTTTCTATTAGTCTGAACTGGGTATGAAATTGAAAGGACACAGGCACTCCTTAGAGGCCTACACTAGATAAAGTACTGACCAGAGCAGCGGTGCTAGACAAGTCCTCTGTGCTCAATGGTGGGTGCACCTGATAAGTGAAGTACAGAGGGAAGCCACCCTAATCCCCTCCTGTCCTCTGAACCAACTACAATGAGAAGCAGGGAAGGACTGGTGACTGCCATTCTCAAAGAGATCCTCCATTGAATTGTCCTTTCCTCTACGTATGCCTGAGCCCCACTGCACAATGAGAGTTTGAAGTTGAGGGACTGAAGGCAGTAAAACACGAAGAAGCTTTTTGGGCAAAATGTGCTTGACTACACTCTGAAAAATGTTGCAGGTCCTGCTGGAGTGTTATTTAGAGAAAATCCTAGTTGTATTTTCAAAGGGAAATACTGTATACATGATCTGGCAGGTCAGGCTGGCTGACTCTAAGGAGAGAAGCACTTTGAAAAACCTCTGTGCTCTGCACAGGAAACAAGGCAGGGGCTTAGCGTAGCAGGGAGGGCAAAGGCACTGGCTGTAAATATGCTCTCCATTTCTAGCTCTTTCCTCTAAAATGCCTCCTGGACTATCTGAGTATCAACCAGGTAAACCCAGACACCTGCAAGACAAGACAAGACCAAAAGTTAAGCAATTAATGGATTCACTCTGTGTATGTGTGCGTGTGCGTGTGTCTGTTGAGACACAGTCTCACTATGTAGTCCAGGCTGGCCCTGAACTCATGCCTCCTCTCCTGCTCCCACCTCTTGACTGAGTATTGGGACTACAGGCATGCACCAACATGCTTGGAAGAGCCACACACTTTTGAAGGCAATTTCCCACACATGCTGTGATACCCAGTCTTAGGACTACAATGCTGGTCTAACAGAGGTTGGGCTCCACCAGGTTCATAAGACCTCAAAGTCAAAGTTGTGCCACTTCAGCAAGGTTATAATTACATTGTTCAAAAATTTAAAAATATTATGGACTCAAGTATGTAGGCTCACCCCATCTTCTTTGTATTAGGGATATATGACAAGGAGAAGGCCAAGTGTGAGGAACAGGGAGCCAGTGGTCCCCAGCTTTCTACCCTGAGGCTTCTGGCCCATCCTGAGGGAGACCAAGGCAGAGCTGGCCCACTCACAGGGCTGGTATGCACAGGCTCGTCTTTGAAAAACGTATGCCTGCATAGAAAAAGATATTTAGCAGTGTATTCTGTGAGCATGCCTTCAGAATCTGAGTATTTATAAATGTTTAACACTCACATAGTCATGAAAATGTATTAATATGGACTTATTAGGAATCTATACAGTAGAAGCAAGGTGTGGGCTGAGATGGCCCAGCAGTCCCAAGTCAAATGAGAAGGTGGCTGTCCATTCCCCAACCAGATAAAGGTCTGTGCTAATTACAAATGTTGGGGCCCAACAGTTTAGGTGCTGTCACTCACAGGAAGCTCTCTCTCCATTGTTCCTGGTGTTTATGTCCCCTTTGCTCTGGCGCCCTTTCGTCCCCGTCACTTCCTCCATGCGGTAAATTTCAGAAACACAGAGCTTGGGATTGAAAGCAAAGTACATTTTCCCAGACTTGATGGTCAAGTTGCGGTGGTCCCAGTCCCACAGCTGCTGCAAGTTCTGGTTGTCCAGGACATAGAAGGAGTAGTTCCTGAAGCACAGAAATCCACATTAGTGCAACTGCTGTGTCCATGGTACCCTTGCAACCTACTGGTACCATCTGACACAGGTCCTCTTTGCCATGTATGTGGCTGGATAACACACTTTCCTTTACCAACAAGAAAGTTGCTGGTTGATGCTACATGAGAGCAGACAGCCACTGTTAACACTGGCAACAGCATGAGTCAAGGACAACATATTGAAATCAACAGGACACTAGCTAATTTCATGACCTCTATTACCAACACATAAAGCTTCTCACTGCAGAGGACGTACCTCAAAGCATTCCCTAGGGATGCCTTTGGTTATTTTTCTCAGAGGCAGGTATGTACAATGTGTTTGAAATTGGTCCATGAGAGAATAGACATGCTCTGCTACCCAACCGGAACAGCTTACATATTTGCTGCAAAGTTTCCCATTATACTTGGGAGTAAATCCTACCCGTGCCCAATCGGCAGCACAGAACGGGATGGGAGACAGACTAGGGAAGGGCAGCTCTAGGCTGCTCCCTCCTTCACATTTATCTTTCCACTCTGAGAAGCCCTTATTTCATTCCCTGGAGGTATGGGGGGAAGAGAGTACCCTGAGGCACCCCATCCAACAGCAGGATTCAGTGTCTAATACACTTATCCAAGTTTGATAGGCACAAAGCTTGGTTTCAGTATGGGTCCCACTCCCAGAGCTGATGCAGCCATCTGGAGTGGGCAGAGAATCTGCATTTCTAACATGTGCCAGGTGAGGCTAATGCTGCCAGTCCTGGGGACTGTACTTGCAGAACTGCTGGTATAACACAGGCTGAGCTCCAGCAATATGCTGGAGGCTGGGCATGGCTCCTCCCTTAGTACCCAAGCTGTCCAAAAAAGGGAAGCCATGGGGATGGCCAACAGAGGAAACAGTTACTGTTGGCTATCTTGGTGTCAGGAGGAACCCATCTCTAGGGATAGCTTCACCTTGGGGGTCTGGAGAAAGATCCCTGCAGCAGGTCTTTTTCTCTGGTGTCCCCAGAAAGCCAGCAGGAAATGCTGCAAATGATGGTCTGAGTCCACTATGTTGATGGGTAGACATCATCTCCCATTCTTCTCCTCCTCTTCCACCTAGCCTCAGTTACTTTTGGGAGCTCTTACAGAGCTCAGGACTTGGGACATCACATTGAGCTATATCTAAGATCCACTCACAGACCCAATCAACAAACATGAAGAGAATAAAGCACCCTCACTCTCCACGCAGAACCGGGAAGAGCCAGAATAAAGAGAATTCCAAAGCCCTCCTTATGTACCAGAGTCTGTCTATCAGCACCTCTCCATATCTACTCAGGATCTTCATTACACTCAAATCAGGACCTCTAACCAGCTGGTCTGTTCTCAGCTTGAGCCACATCTCGAGTGAAGCATGAGTTATAATTACAATGCTGCCAAGCATCCTTGATACTTCCTTGAGAATTCACAAAGAAATACAGTTCAGAAGGGAGTTTGGAGGCAGGCATCCAGGACCAGAAATGCCATGCCAAAGGCAGGTCCTTTAGCGCTGTTTGTAGCACAATTTGTTTACTCATTCTCACTCCCGGGACAGCAAGAGGCATGAACCAGTGACATCTGAGCTCCTTGTTGGCTTAAAGAGCCCTAATGTCCAGAGGAGAAAACAGAGCTGAGATGGCTGTCCTGCTAGCCTGAAAGCCTCAACTCTCCCCATAGCACTGGGCCCTCTGTACACACATGCTGGGTGTGGGAGTGCTACCCACACAGGGGTTTAATGAACCAGCAAAGGAGCCCTAAGACAGTGCCTCTGAAACCAAGCCAGGCACTTCACAAACTCATCTTCAGTGAGTTTAATGGTCACCAAATGGAAAAACTTGCACGTCAACAATCCTACCCTTTACCAAGTGATCTTTCCCTAACACCATATGCCCTGCAAAAGGAGCTTAAGACACTGTTCAACTAAATCCAGACTGCAATACAAGGCTGTATCTTATGTCTCTGAGAGCAGTCCTTGAACCCAGTCCTGGTTAGCTCTATTGCCCCAGGGGGCAGAGCCCGTCTACCGGCAGATAAGGTGGTTCAGTACAGTCATACAACCGAAGAAAGGGTGCAGAGGTGAAACCAGATTTGTCCTATTATAAGTCCACCCTTGCTCATGGGATATTTCCAGCTCTGAAGGAGACTCTGCTGAGTCAAGGCTGACCCCAAAGAGTATGGCGGCTCCCAGGTTCCTGAGATAGCCCCAGAGCACAAAATCTCATTGTTGGTGGAGAAACCGCCCCAAGACAGAGGTAAGGGCCAATTAATCAGGTCAAACTTCCATTTCAACCCAGGACTAGACCTCTTTTAGTAACTAATTTTACTAGCAGGAAATAGAACTGCACTGAAAATAACCTTCTGAACAAAATATTCTTCTCTCCAGAGAGGAAGCATGAATTATAAATGAGGAATTTGACAAATGAATGGCAGGCACACTGAAATTCTGTGTATTTGATTGATCACTTTGAAAAGCATGATCATCTTTTTACAGTAAATACAAACACTTAAAAACAACAACAAAAAAACAACATTAATAAGGCTGGGAGCCAAGATTCCAATATCAATAAAACCCAGGCATTATGGAGCATGTGGAAGGTAAAGAAAAATAAAAATAAAACCCTTATCAAAATAATAATTAAGCCATTCAATACTCCTCTTGTTTTTGTGACCCCAGTTTGGGGCCCTACTTCCCCAAATTTCTTCCATGATTACATGCGAATTAAAAGATGGTACAAGGCAGAGACCTGTCTGCACATCTTCAAAATATACTTAAATTGTCATTATTTCCTAAAGGAAAGTATTCAGTAAATGTGATTTTATAATTGTTTCTAAATTCTCTGCCATTACATCCAAAGAATATTTTTAAAAATTCAGTTTTTTTCTTTTTCTCCATTTCCACGCCATGATGCCCTGGTTTTATTGATAATGGCATTTTGGCTTTCAGCCTTCTCAATGTTGAAAAAAAAGTTTCGCTCCTTGGATAGGTTCCTTCTGCCAATCTGTGGATCACCTGGGGTGGGTTTGGAGTGGATAGTTATCTTTTGGGGGGCATTACTGTGTCAACAATATGAATATTCTAAATGCCTACCTGGCTCATAATTGCATGTTCAGCTTTGTGACTTGTGGCTACCATCAGGGCTGACTTTTCTTTGAGTTGTCAACACTACCATCTCCTTCCTATCTGCAGAAAGGGTGGGAGGCAAGGAGAAGCACAATGGCTGGAGATCCGAATGGTACTTGAAGACACACCCAGGTACAGGGTTCAGAGAATTCCATTTGGGAATAAAAAAAAAAAAATCAGGTCTGAGCTTCACCTTCACTACTTACTAAGGAACAACTCTGGTCAGTTTATCCAGCTTCTCCCTGGCTGGAGTTTCTCAGCTGCAAATGGGAGGTGCCTTCCTTGCTCTCTTGTGGCCCCAAAGACAGGTGGAAGAATTGAGTGAGCTAAATATGAAAGGGTCCTGTGAGCTTTGAATCACCTCACAAAGGTGTGGGATGACCTGTTCTGCTCTCTGAAGTGTCAAAGACCCCCCAAAACAAAGTCACAGAAACCAGGCAAGTCCTGTGCCTTGACAAATGGGGCTGAGCCTGAGGTCTCCAGCCTACAGAGGTACAAAGGGACATTCCCCCTTTCAAACCCTTGCTGACATATGGAAAGAAAATCTGCAAATATACAAGTTATAATTCCTGTTCACTTCTCTGAGGAGAAACTGCGGGGAGCTGTCTCTAGAGGGCATCAGAACCCAGCACACTGATGCTCTCATCAGCACAGAGCAACCTACCACTGATTCAGGCTTTGGCCTTCTCACCATGCCCCTCCAACCCATCTGCAGATGGCTCATTTCACCATCCCAAGTCCAAGGTTCCACCACCCACAAGGTCTCAGCAAGGGTGGAAATGTGGAACTAGGCACAATTCAGATACCCAGAAAGCATTTCCTCTTTGTTGAGTGTTTTTAAAAACTAGCTTTATTGAAGTATAACTTACCACTAAAAACTTATTTCACTATAAATGTACAGTTCTATGACCTTCTGTCAATTTATACAGCTCTCCAATCATCACCTATACCCAATTTGAAGACATTCCCATCACCTCAAAGTTCCCTTGTTCCTGCTGGAGGTCAGTTTCCACTCTTACCCCCAGCCATCTACTGTCTCCATAAGCTGCTATCTTCTGCCTTTTCTAGAAATTACACCTTAAGAGATTCATACAATACAGTCTTTTGTGTCTTTCTTTTTATACTTAGACTAGTGTTTTTGAGGCTCACTTATGTTGTTAACATGTATCATACTCCATCCCTTTTTATTCTTGAGTAATATGGCATTGTGTCACATTTTGTTTACTCACTCATCTGCTGATGAACATTTAGAGTTTCCAATGAGCTGTTTTTGTTTTTGTTTTTGCGGGAGGGGGGAAGACTATAATGAACAATACTGCCAACAAACATTTATACGTGAGTATTACATAGGAATGTTTTCATTTCTCTTGGGAAAAAACTGGTAAATTCTGGAATTGCAGGGCCATGTGGTTGTGTATATATATACACATATATTTTAAAAGTGTACCCATAGTCTCAGAGCCGCAAGAAGGTAATCTAAAGTACTCAGTTTTGTGAAGTCAACTGATGGGGACATAAACATAGAAATGCCTAAATGCATCTAAGAATTTCGATTCCCTCCCCCCCCTTTTTTTGGTGGTACTGGGGTTTAGACTCAGGGGCTCTAGCTTGCTAGGCAGGTGCTCTACTACTTGAATCACACCCCCAACCCTATAATTTACCACCTTTCTATATTTTTACTTAAAACAACATTCTTTGCTAGCATCAAAGAATTTGAAATTTCAACTAATTTATCTGATGGCATCAGAAAACAAGGTTGTCCAAGTAAGGGGATTTTCCAAATTGTATTTTCTCTCTTATTCGAGGACTTAGAAATTACAGAAATCTTGTACATGTGGATTACAGAATCAGTTTCCTTTGCAAACAGCAGAACGCCTTGATTTTCTTAGTATCTCATTACTCTAGAAACACACCACACTACACAGGGACGTCAGTCCTGGATGATACTCTGAGTCCTAGTCAAATCAAAGACCGCCTAACACCATCTGGGTACTGCCGGGTTTTCTTCAGCAACTGACCACCCTGGATCTCTGTTCTGATGAGCTTCTGCTTCTTTCTGTCACCAGCCTGGAAATTCGGTTAAGAAATTAGCTCATCACTGTGAGTATGAGATAAAGGACTAGGAAGCTCTACTGTAGGTAAAATGAATGGATTCCTGTTATGGACTGCTCAGGAGACTTTTTGAGAACTAAATATTAAAGTGACATCTTTGAAAGCCAAGGCTGGACGAATCTTACAAAATGAATTGCTCCAGTTTTCATCAAAACAAAAGGCTACCAAACTTTCATTCTACTGAACCAAATGGCAACATGTGTGTTCTCACTGGCTGTTAAGAGAAGCTCAAGAGATATAGTACTTCAAGGCAGCACTGTGACAAGAATGTTTATCTGTCTGTCTGTCTGTCTATCCATTTATCTATTTTATTTTTAATCAAAGTGCTTTGGGGATACACACATGAGAAGTAAAGGGATAGAGTAGTGGTTTCCAATCTCCCCTACATGCTGAAAGTACCTAAAATCTTTATGAAACTACTGATACCTGAATTCCAGCCCCAAACTTCTGATTGAATTGGGGTGAGGTATAACCTGGGCATCAGGTTTTTTTAAAAGCCTCTTTCCTCTGCCCTGATAATCCTAATGGATCACAAAGTTTGGGAAACAGCAAGATAAAAGTTATCCTGGTTAAGTCACACTGAAATTAAAATTCAGACAGCTCCGCTAATACACCTCTTACACAAAAGCCCTGAATGTGTTCCACGACCTTCTTAAATTATAACCTCCACACAAACGTGGGTGCAATACCATGTTACGTCATTTTAGTAGCATGTACCTCTCTGCTGTTATTTGCCCAACAGGCCCCAGGGTGCCCAAACTTGTTGCCTTTGCTCCTGTCCTCTTCCCTGATTGTCTGTCTTCACCCTCTGTTTTCTGAGTATTTCTGGAATCCCTTCAAGGACCATCTCAAATGCCACCTCTTCTCAGAAGCCTGTATGAGCTTCATCAGTGATATCCCTTTTTCACACCCACTGCACATTCCTCTCTCCCCCCTGGAGCACTTTGCAAGTTGTGCTTTGCATTGCTGACATTCATCTGCTTATCTCCCCACTTTCTTCTCTTCTTCTCTGACTTTGCATTTCTTCCCCCTCCCATTAGCATATATTAGCTGTACAAAGGAGTTCATTGTGAGAGTTCCACATATGCATATAATGTACTTCGATCATATTTACCCCCTCTGCTGCTCTTTCTTATCCCTTCATCTCCATTTTTCCATTTTGATGGGTTTCATTATTTTCATTTGTGCATATAATGTACTTTGATCATACTCACCCTTTCCTTTTGCTTTCCACTCTCCCCACTTGATACAACCCCCTAAAATGGTCCCTCTTTTACATTCATGCCTTGGTTTTGTTTTGTTTTTTTTCATATGAGACAAATTATGCATTCTTGCAGAAGAAATGAGGGGAATAGGTGAAGGGACTGAGCCTAACTCCATCCCTAAGTCTAAGGAGGAGAAACAGAGTGAGTTGTTACTGGTCACCCACGAAACAGACAGCTCTCAATGGGTTCGTCCCAAGTAAAGGTGAGTGATACCTTTTTTGGTCATGGTTAAGGAAGGCAGGTGAGAGAAAACAACTCCCATCAAGATAGAAACTTAAACATCCTAGGTGAGGAGATGGTGTCCATGAAGTAGCTCACAGACTGGGAAAAGCTAGGACCCAGCTGTTTTTCCTTCCATCTGAAATGCTAATAGCAGAGTAGGTGCCTGATGCTTACCTAGGAAGCCTTAAAAACATGCATCCTTGAAAAGACCCCAGTGATACTTTAGGTTTCATGTAAGTTTCGGATAATGAGAGATACATCATAAATATTCTTGCACATAAAAACCAGGCTTTAATTATCATTTACACTTAAGTACATGATACTTTTAAGCTAACCCACAATGAGAAGGTAACATACCACATAACAATTCCTAATATAAATTAATTAATGTCTCCTCTCAGCTTGTCTCTCCTCTATGCCCATTATTTACTCAGTCTGGAGAGTTAAAAAGCAAAACAAGATACATGTATCCATAAGCAGCCAGCAAACTTGACAGCTACCTATCTTCCAAAGAAAAAGTACTTAGTGATATCAAGGATTCCAGAACACAGATCCACTTGAAGCGGGTAAGAAAGAAAAAAACAAGAGAGAGAGAGAAAGACTGAGCTTTTAAAGTTCAACACAACAAACAATGGCTATCACCTCACACTGGCAGAGCCCCACCATACCAGAGATATGGGGCTGGGCACAGTGGTAGCCTCCTTGAATTTGAAAGGGGAAAGAAGTTTTTCTAAAAGATTCAGTGTTCCCAGCAGGGAGGACAGTGCTCTTTTCAAGGAGGGAATGAAGAGCTTCTCTCTCTCTCTCTCTCTCTCTCTCTCTAGCTATATCAGATGATGGAATTTTAAGAATTTAAGACCAACCAACAGTTAGTCTGAGAAAAACTGGGAGTCTGTAAAGAAACCCTTATGTGGTAACTTTATCCAACTGGGGCAGATAAATCAGCAAGGACAACCTTTCCCATGACCTTCCCACCTCTTTTTTTCCCCTAAATTATTTTCCTAAATTCTCTTTATAAAGAATTCACTCCTTACTTGACAACTCTATTTATTTCAAAGCATTAGCTTAAAGCCAGGCAAGAGCCTTCTTTAAAAGGGAGAATGTGAACAGAAACAGACATAGCAAAGGTACACCCAGGCTAACAGCTGGAAAGAAGCTGTATATTCAATATGCACCAGCTTTTACCCTCTGGTGAAAAACTCACCACTTTTTTAAAATCCCCATCACAAAACATATCTCTGAAGAAGGCAAAAATTCTACCTATTGCTGCAAATCCTATAAGCTAATCAATAAAAACAATTCTGTGAATCAAGATTTCATTATAACAAAACAAACTGTCCTCATGTTCCCAAGTCCCTTATGTTCTGACATTTTAAGACAGGATGGCTTTTATGTAGCTTAGTACAGCATCCTGAGGCAAATAAGGGTCATATGAATACTGATTCCATTGGAGTTAAGCATGACAGACTGAGTACTGTCGCTCTTGTGCTATCTGTCTCACTGGCCACACTTAGACACGTAATCCCCGAATGAAAGGTCTGACCCGGTAAGAATTAAAACATCTGTTTCTCTAAATAGTAGTATCCTAAGGTTAGAGAATAAAGATTACACAAGACCCTGCACAGGGAGGTGGGCCACCACCTAGGCTGCAGGGGCAGTATCTTGGCTTCTTCCTTCCTTCCATTTCACAAGGAAGGGCATCATACTTTTTTATAATACAACAATGTCATCTCATGACAAGGGTAAGTGGAGCACTTACCCTTCCAGCTGTTCCTCCCCTAAGATCTGGCGCAGGTTTTTCAGGAAGGACAAGGAGACCAACGCGTGGGAATGGCGGATCTTTACATAGCCGGTCACCACCTCGATGAGCCCCATGAAGTTCTCCAGCTCTGTGGCAATGTTATCTACAGTAAAGGAGACAGTGTCACCAAGCACTTCAGTGTCAGGGTGACGTGCTTGGATTTATACAAATGGGGATGGAAAGTAACGCAGTGCCACGTCCTGTTTCCAGGGAAGCCCAGAGAGCTGTTCAGAATCTGAACACAGGACCCACTGTCAAAAGCACACTTCCTTAGCTTTGATTTTCAACAAGTAGTCCTGGGACAAGGTCTCTGAGGAGGGAGAAAGCAAATGTCTAGGAGGCTGGGTACTGTCGTTCCCAAGCTGAGTAACAGAATATAAAATCATAAATATCAGACTGCCAATTAGCTAAGGCTAACAAATCTAGGGAACTTCTTTTAATATGCTCTGTCAACAGACAGTGCTGCCTCCACAGTGCAAGGGCATGACTAAATAAACAACATTTTCCCAGTCTCATTAGGAACTGCCTTTGCTGTAGTTCTAGTTCCTAAGATACGGGGCTCTATATTTAAAGATTCTGTTTTACTAAGACTGCATGAAAATGTATTCAAATGTTAATAATGGCTATTGCAGGTGGTTTAAAAAAATTCACTTCTGCATCTGTAAGTTTCCCATAATGCTCATATATTATTTTTTTTTAACTAGAAAATACTTGGAAAAATAGTTGCTAATACAGATTAAAAATAACATGACATAGGAAGAGATTTCATCTTTTTTAGCCTATCTTTTCTTATAGTAAATAAAAAACATAAACTTTAGCTCAACATATGCCAAAATTATAAGAGACTACAATGAATTAGGTGTGGTTCAGTGAATGTTTACTTATGAAGGTTTACTTAATAAAAGCTTCTGTTTTGCTTTGCTTTGCAATTTCTTAGAGGATAAGACCTCATATTTAATGGCATTCCAAGAGAAATTAAGGGAATATTCAAGTTGGGGAGACGAGAGGTTGTTTATAGCTGATATTTTAAGGACAAGATCCTGAATTTTAAATCTGGGGCAAGAAGGATGCTTGTCAGTTAAGGCTTGGGATCTCTTCCTTCCAAAATAAATGTCCCATCATCCTAAATCCAACTGACTTCCTGAGTTGGACACAAACTAGAAGATACAATTCATCATCACTCGTGAATATGTATCAATTTCTTCTCAGATTCTCCTCCATGGATTTAATTCACAGATTAGCCTTTTTTCTTTGGGATAAGAAGATTAAAAAAAAAAGTTTAGGCACTGTATGCCATGGGGATAAGTAAATTGCAAGTAAATTAAAAAAAATCTATTAAGGGCAAAAAGAACAACTTTGGGAGTACCATGAGAGTAAGGAGTTCTAAGTGTGGGGAACATGGTTATCTCCATTGTGAAGGGTTAGGAGATGGATAATGAAAAACAAGGACTATCAAAAACTTCAAGGAACAAAGCAAAAAACTTGTTTCTACCATTTCTATGCCACAAGACAGTTCACTTACTTA